GTTGTGGCGGTGGTTGGGGGTGTTGGTGGTGATGGTTGTGGCGGTGGTTGGGGATGTTGGTGGTGATGGTTGTGGTGGTGGTTGGGGGTGTTGGTGGTAATGGTTGTGGCGGTGGTTGGGGGTGTTGGTGGTGATGGTTGTGGCGGTGGTTGGGGATGTTGTTGGTGATGGTTGTGGGAGGTGGTTGGGGATGTTGTTGGTGATGGTTGTGGCGGTGGTTGGGGTGTTGGTGGTGATGGTTGTGGGAGGTGGTTTGGGTGTTGGTGGTGATGGTTGTGGCGGTGGTTGGGGGTGTTGTTGGTGATGGTTGTGGGAGGTGGTTGGGGATGTTGTTGGTGATGGTTGTGGCGGTGGTTGGGGATGTTGGTGGTGATGGTTGTGGGAGGTGGTTGGAGATGTTGTTGGTGATGGTTGTGGGAGGTGGTTGGCGGTGTTGGTGGTGATGGTTGTGGCGGTGGTTGTGGGTGTTGTTGGTGATGGTTGTGGGAGGTGGTTGGCGGTGTCGTCGATGGTGACGGTGGCCGCGTGCCAACCGAACGAGTGGCGGCGACGTGACCACGACAGAGAGTCGCTCAGCGTGCGCGGCTGCCCCCAGCGAGCGTGAAACCTCACCCGAGCCCCCCACCACCGCGAGCACAACTCCACGAGAGAGACAAAACAATCAGAATCATTACTCAAACTGGAGGAATCCGATGAGCTATAAAGCTCTTTTTCACACATGTCCAGTCAGCAAACCCAAAGGCGCTCGAGTCATGAGCGCTGGCCAACAACGAGGCTCGCCGCGATGTCATGCGTCACGATATATCACGATAAGACGATTATCGCGATATGGCTTTCCCATAACGAGATTCGAATTTTTGTTCACGTTTTCTTTTAAACTGTATATGGCATTGATTTGTGCCCAAGTGCGCTTCCAGTGGTGTGGGTAAATGCCACCTAAAATCGTAATAATTACGAGAATTATTATGCCATGTAATAATCGGCACGCCGTCAAATCATCCGCAACAGTAAGCGTTAATTTAAAATTGAAAACGTACAGTTTCAAGTTCCTAGTGTATTCTTAGTATTAATTCAAGTTGCATTTTGTCGTTGTGCGTGTGTGTCGATGTAATTGTCTCGGTGGAATTCCACGCACGGCATCTGCCCGTGTGTTTTTTGAGCACCTTTTGATCTTCTTCCATGGTTGGCGGCCTCCGCTAACGAATTACGCTGAGGGCCGCATTGTCCAATAGGCCACAGTTGGCACTGTGGCTATGGTCTACGAAAACTAAGAGGGCCTATGAAAACAAAATTTTGACCATGTTTCTTTTGTTGTTGTTTGCATGGTACGAAATTTTTTCACCACGATATCTGCTCGAATAAATATATGTATATATCAATGGTAGACACAGTGTATGTACAAAGAGTCAGAGTCATGTCAATCGGTTTTTTTTGTTTCATAAAGTGACAGAAATTAACAACGGAGATGGAACTTTGAGAGATTTGTTGTTCATTGCAAAAATGAGCACCGACACCTCCAAGTGGTGTTTTGATCCCTCTCGCAATCTCATTCTCAATCGAGTGTGGTGCACGGCAAGACAAACGCCATCACTGAAGTTACCACTCAAAGGCCTGTGAAACAGAAGTGCCTCGCGGACTACAACAACTTTAAATCCGGCCCTGATTACGTGTCGCGGGATGTGCAGACAATGGGGGAGTGTGTGGAGGGGTGGTCCCGTCATCAACGATCGGGCCCTTTGCATCACTGCCAGGGCCCAACCGCTGTCGGCCACTCACCGGATCAGATAACCGTCAACGGTGTTGGTGTTTTTAGTTTTTTTGCCGTGAGCATAAAATCGCGAACTTTGCTCGCCTGGTTTCGTAGCGCGGCGTGCTAACCGCTGCGCCACCGTTCCCCAAAACGCACACACCCCCACCCCGCTCGCCCCCCCCCCCCTCCACACTCCGTTAGCCGCGAGTTGTGTCCCGCATCGCATCACGGCGCTTCGATGCCGCCATCCTCGTCACGTGCCACTATGCGCTCCGTTATCTCGCTCCGCGCTGTCCCATACTAAGTGGCGCCCTCGGCTCGGCGCTGGCGCGTGATGGTGATGGTGGCAGTGGGGGTGGTGGGGGTGGTGGGGGCCGCCACGGTGACGAGATGTCAACTCCCTCGCCTGGTACGCAAGAGGTCGTCGGTTCGACGCCTGCATATTTGGAGTTTGCGATTTTTCTGGGGGTCCTCCGAATTTTCCCTCCACATTTAGAAACACGCGTTTAGAGTATTTGGTTGCTATGCACTTCCACGTGATAAGCCACTTCGTTGAGCTATCATTTGTGGCCATGTCGCATTTAAAACAAGAGATGTCTAGCTCAGTGGGCCTTACCTGATAAAATAAAAATATATAGTTTCGTTCGTAGTTTTAATTATCGCGCAGTGTTAAGAACCCTGCCACCCAAGTTCGACTCCCGATCACGCCCAACAATACCAATGACGATTATTTGAACCGGTCCTGGGCCTCCCATCGGTCGACTCAGCCTCAAATGAGTACCCAGTGTGGAGTGTAAACATCGCCACTGGGAAGACAAAGACGGCCGAGCGTGATGTTGACAACCCACCCCCTCGTGGCGGCCTTCATAGGTAGTACTCGCTCACTGCACTTGCCCCCCAAAACGTCCCCCGTATAGCTTTAACATGATTTTTGGGACACGTGCTGTTATCGAGTGGAACCTATCAAGGGCCGGCACGGCACACGAGCGGATGGGTGGTCAACAGCACCACGCCCGCTGTGCCAACACACAAAGATCCTCCGGCAAGTGCAAAACAGCACTTGCCCTAACAGTCTGTTAAAGGATATACGGGGAGTCTTTGTCTTTGGCGGCGGTGGTGGTGGTGGTGGTGGTGTAGGAGGAGGTGCGTGATAGGCCTAACATTGTCGGGCAGGCGTTGATCGGCGCGTTGGAAGAATGACACCGGGAGGTTATTTTGAGGACAGCGTGAGATATGGTTATGCGGTTGGGGGGGGGGGCAAGGGGGTAGTGGCAGCGGGGTGGGGGGTAGTGTTAGTTTTTGAACATATACTGTCAGAAATGTTTTTCTCTCAAAGCACGAATAATGAAAAATAATACGTAGTGTTGTTTCGTCACATTTAGTCACGTTTATGTTAACTCCCTCGCACGGGATGCAGGAGGTCGTGAATTCGGCCTCGACCCTGACGCCTGTTGTATATTTGGAGTGTTCAGTGTCTCTCTCTCTCTCTCATCATCATCGCAGTGGCTAGGAGATGTTAACTACCTCGCCTGGTATACAGGAGGACGTGGGTTCGATCCCGACCACTGACGCCTGCTGTATATTTGGAGTTTGCGTGTCCCTCTCCTCTCTCCCCTTTGTCGCGTCCATTTTTCTCCGGGTCCTCTGGTTGTTCCCTCCACATTTAGAGGCGACATCACCACGCGTTTAGAGTGTTTGGCTGCAATACATGTCCACGCGATAAGCCACTTCGTTGGACGCTCAATTGTGGCCAGGTAGCTTTGTGAAAAGAGATTTACACAGCTCGATGGGCCTAACCTGGCAAATACGAAAAAATAGCGAATCGGATTCTTCAAATAAATAAATATTCGGATTCTATCACGAACGCTCGTCTCTCTCTCGTTCTGCTGCGAAGTAACGGACAGAGCCCGAAAACGTTGTCTGCTATATATTTGTTTACTTTTTCCGGCCGCCGTGTTTGTATTTGTTGTTGTTGTTGTTGCTGTGCTGACGCAGCGAGGCCACGGATCTCCCGTGCAAGATAGCCGGGCAACTGGCTCAACGGGACCACCACCATCATCATCACCATCCGTGTAACAACATGAAATAAACTGAATACTGTTGCATGTGCTGAGTTTTTTCGTGAAAAAATGTATTGTTGACCAAGTAATTCCAACAAATATTGGTCACTTGCAAAGAATGTAATTGCTTAATTTGATTGTGGATATTCTCCGTTGACTGATTGTGTTTCGCTGATGTTTTTGTGACTGAGTTTTGTTCTTGTCTGCCTCCTCTCAACTCAACCACTCCTATCCCCTTTCCTCGCTCCCCCCACTGTCTCCCCTCCACTCTGCCTTCCCTATCTCCCTCCATCACACTCCCACCATCACATCCCTCTAGCGACATCCCTCCATTACACTCCCACCATCACATCCTTCTAACCACATCCCTCCATCACACTCCCACCACCATCACATCCCCACTGTCTCCCCTCCACTCTGCCTTCCCTATCTCCCTCCATCAAACTCCCACCATCACATCCTTCTAACCACATCCCTCCATCACACTCCCACCATCACATCAATCTAGCGACATCCCTCCATCACACTCCCACCATCACATCCTTCTAACCACATCCATCACACTCCCACCATCACATCCCTCTAACCACATCCCTCCATCACACTCCCACCATCACATCAATCTAGCGACATCCCTCCATCACACTCCCACCATCACATCCTTCTAACCACATCCATCACACTCCCACCGTCACATCCCTCTAACAACATTCCTCCATCACACTCCCACCATCACATCAATCTAGCAACATCCCTCCATCACACTCCCACCATCACATCCTTCTAACCACATCCATCACAATCCCACCATCACATCCCTCTAACAACATCCCTCCATCACACTCCCACCATCACATCAATCTAGCGACATCCCTCCATCACACTCCCACCATCACATCCTTCTAACCACATCCATCACACTCCCACCGTCACATCCCTCTAACAACATTCCTCCATCACACTCCCACCATCACATCAATCTAACGACATCCCTCCATCACACTCCCACCATCACATCCTTCTAACCACATCCATCACAATCCCACCGTCACATCCCTCTAACCACACCCCTCCATCACACTCCCACCACCATCACATCCCCCACTGTCACATCTCTCCATGACACTCCCACCACCATCACATCCACCACTGTCACATCCCTCCATCACACTCCTCCGGTGATCACACAGCAGTGGGGTCGCTGCTGACGGAGTTCACCCCCACCACGTGGTGGTGGTGGTGGGGGGGGGGGGAAGAGAGAGAGAGCACGGCGCGGAGAGGGCGAAGGGAGGCCGCGTCGGACAGGCGGGAGGGCAGCTCCCCCGTGGGGCAAGCGAGCGGAGCGTCGGGGCAACCGGGTGCGAGGTCAGCGATGGCGACGGCCGCCAGCAAGGCTCACGCGGGTAGCGTGACGAACCGCAGCGACCCACGCTCCGTCAACTCCCGCGTCTTCATCGGGAACCTCAACACGGCCGAGGTGCGGATCCCGCGGCAACGAGGAGATGGGCAGGGCAGGGTCGGGGGCCGGAACCGCCGAGGCGCTGACGCCCGGGTTTCGAATCCAGGTGGAACGCGGAGCCGCAGCGACACTCCGCTTTAGCGATGTCGCGTGGTGTGTTGGACTTCTTTCGCACCGTACGTAGCCAACCGTGCCGATCGGAGGTGCGCGGGGGAAGGCCAACAAACTGAACACGAAAATCGGTTCTGAAGCGGGTTTTTAAAATCTAGATTTAAAAGTGCAGAGCTCCCAACGGCTTCCTAATATCGGAAGGAAGAGCGTTCCAGACGGCCACAGAAGCGCCGTGGTGTTGCATGTGCTGCTTTGTCAACGCGGCGTCGGTTTGGTGACCCCGGTGGCTCGGAGGTCAGAGAGCCGAGCCGGCACAGCTGAGATCCTGGGTTCGAATCAAGGGCGTTCAGCTTCCAAACCGTGAGGGGTTTTTGTATTTTTATTTTCGGAGCTGCTGGAATTTAGCCAAATTTAGCTCGAAAATGTTGCGAGTAGGCCCTCCCCTCTTACCAAAAAAGGCATGGAAAAAAGTGTCTTCATAAAAATGTATATAACACAATTTATTTCTATATATATTGTATTTATAGACAGTTTTTATCCAGACATTGCTAGCTGGGCCAACATCAACTCTCCACACATTTCAAACTTAATTTGGCTAAATTCCAGCTCCGACAATTTCAATATGTTTTGCTTTCGACTGTCATGCAATGACACTTATTCCCATATGCAGAGCGGATGGGGGGGGGGGGTAGAAGGGGGAGTGCTGCCCTGCCACTTTTATTCTTGATGGCCTGGAAGCATCTTGAAAAACGGACCCCATAGTTTTGACTCCCGATTCCGCGTAGGGGCATACCCCAGCGTGAATAATAAGTGCACTGCCCTGCAACTGCTCCGCAAGACGTCCGTTAAAAATGAAAGAGCTTTACGATTTATCGGATTCCCCCGGTATGAATGGGGATTCTGAGATGACGCCGATAGCACGAATTTTGGGATACATTCGGAGCAACATTTAAATAAGCGACACTTTACGCGTGCGCCGACTTCTTATTTTTTTCGTGCAGCGGACCTCTGGTGACTATCGCTGCACGAGGTGCAAGCCCCTTGGGGATGCCGGGAATGGTTTGAAGGATGTTGCCACGACGCGCGCACGGTTTTAAACTTACGCGAGGCACAATCTTCCATCAACAGGCAAAATGAACGGTTACTGTACTCGGACACGTTTCGATGCACAGGAGAGATGGTGATGATGATGAAGATGGAGTCTATAATGACAGCGTTGTTGGTTATGGTGATGAAAATTATAATGGTGATGTTGATGGTGGCGATGATGATGAAAATGGTGTTGGTTATGATGATGGTTATGATAATGGTGGTTGTGATTGCGGTGATGATGATGATGGCAACAACAACAAAAGAATCAAAACGATAAATAAACCAGCTCAGTTTGCTGACAGTGCCAGATCCAATTTGGGTTTGGTGTGGGCGGGTGTCTATGTGGGAACCACCCGCCTCTTAAGACTCTGAATATGATTATAATTATATTGATATTAAGCAGAGAAAATACTTTACATGGAATGTTTATTTTATACAAGTCGGGCTCTCCAGACATGGAACCACACACACGACGCCACTCAACAATAACCTCCGCCATTCGTCACGGAGTGGAGGTGACGTCACCACGGCGTTTGTGCCAGTCTAGGTGCACCATGAGGCCACACACACACACACTTGCAGATACGATACACTTCATTTATTTAAAAATGTAACAACAATTTCTAGGGGGGGAAAAATACCGTGACAAAATTGTAGGTTTAGTCGTGATGACTAATAAACACGCTGGTTTATTTTCAAGAAAAAACTTTATTTTTGGTTAACTTGAGGTGAGAACTTAAGAGACCATTTGCAAGAAGGGTGCCCTGTGTCACCAACTTTACAAAAAAAATCAAAACCGAAACAACAAAGCACAGTGAACGCGGCAAACATAAAGCGGCACAGATACACGCGCGGCCACGTGAGCAATCGAAACTTTTTGCACAAAACCACAAACCACCCCCCAACGTCAAATAGCAAACTCGCAAGCGGCGTAAGCCCAAGTCAAACCCGGTGGCTAACTCTGCGGCCAAAGCGCTGACCGCCCCCCGCCCCCGCGACAACGGAACACAAAACAACGCCTTCCAAACAACAACGTCCGGTCCCGAACGTCGCTTATCCAACGTTCACCGGCGGTTCGTCGGCAGCAGGTGTCGCGCTCGGAGGTGGAGGCGCTGTTCGCCGAGTACGGGCCCGTGCTGGGGGTGTCGCTGCACAGGGGCTACGCCTTCGTGCAGTACGGGGACGGGCGGAGCGCGCGACTCGCCGTCTCCGCCGTGAACGGCCGCGTGCTCGCCGGGCAGACCCTGGGTACGGCTCGCACACCACCCCCCACCCACATCCACCCTCCCTCCTCGCACCCCCCCCCACCCTCCTAGCCCCCCCCTCCACCCTCCTAGCACCCCCACCCACCCTCCTCGCACGCAGCCCACTCTCCCTCCTCGCCACCCCCTCCCAGGCACCCCCACCCACCCCCCTCCCTCCTCGCCCCCCCCTCCCTCCTCGCCACCCCCTCCCAGGCACCCCCACCCCCTCGCACCCACCACCATCCGCCAACCACCCCGTGCGCTCCTCTCCCCACGGGGGTGGCAACCGAGCGAGGGCCCCCAAAAGGGGTGGGGGAGGGGCACGGGGTAGGCTGTAGTGTAGCTGTGTGGAGGAGCTGTAGCCGAGGGGGTAGGGACACGGGGTAGGCTGTCGTGTAGCTGTGTGGAGGAGCTGTAGCCGAGGGGGTATGGACACGGGGTAGGCTGTAGTGTAGCTGTGTGGAGGAGCTGTAGCCAAGGGGGTATGGGCACGGGGTAGGCTGTCGTGTAGCTGTGTGGAGGAGCTGTAGCCGAGGGGGTATGGACACGGGGTAGGCTGTAATGTAGCTGTGTGGAGGAGCTCTAGCCAAGGGGGTATGGACACGGGGTAGGCTGTAGTGTAGCTGTGTGGAGGAGCTGTAGCCAAGGGGGTATGGACACGGGGTAGGCTGTAGTGTAGCTGTGTGGAGGAGCTGTAGCCGAGGGGGTATGGACACGGGGTAGGCTGTAGTGTAGCTGTGTGGAGGAGCTGTAGCCGAGGGGGTAGGTCACTGTGTGCGTGTTTCCTACACACTCCGTCACTCCTCATCACCCTTCATCCTCCTTTGCATTTACCTACGAGCTCAACCTCATCTTCTTAATCGTCACAAAAAAGACCCTCTTCCTCATTGTCTCTCGCCCTCACCTCTTCGTGCTCATCGGCTCACGCGTCTCTCCACCTCCTCTCATGACCCCCTCACGCCACCTACTGCCCCTCTATCTCACCCCACCTCATCCCACCTCCTCGAGTCGTCGCCGTCGTCACCTCCTCCTCCTCCTCACCTCGTCCCTACCACCACCACCAACAACGCTCCGCGCATCTCCCTCCCTGCACTCACCACCGCGCTCCTCGCAGCACCCTCGGCACAGAAGCTGCGTGACCTGGGGGGCAGCGGGGCTGGTGGAGCGGGGGGGGGGAGCAGGGGGGTTGGAGGGCTGTGGGAGCTGTGGGTGGGGGGGGGGGCTAGGAAGCGCTTGGGGGTATGGACAGACTCGGTAATTAATGATCGCCCGCGTTAATTATGCAAATCGCGAGCCTGCCTGCCCCACGAGCTGTTGCGTATTTTTTTTCTAACAAAAATGAAAGAATTTTGCGAGAACTGTAACATGTACTGGCCCGTCGGTCACGATCTATCCACAGTATAACAATTCATTTCATGTCGCGGCACCGCCGTCTGATACCGGCCTTCATAGACGCCGCTCGCTCGCACGTACTTGCCCCAAGTCCACTTCGGGCTACACGGGGGACCTCTACCTGAAATCCACAACGCAGCCGCGCAGACAACTTTGTGCCTGCTGATGAGTGGGTCAAGTGTCTCAACCGACCCAGGAGTGTCTTTGCTCGTCTTGAGTCGACGCTGGGGGAAGTGTGGCGGTAGTCGGATTGCGTGTGAGGGACATGCGCTGTTGTCAGCCTGCGTATGTTGAACGTGAATGCTGGTCGCCCATCCAAACACTGTCCAGGCTCAACCCCCTGCTTAGCTTATCAGATCTGATGCAATCCTTGGGATTTGGTCACAGCAGTAATTTAATTAACGTCAAGCCAAACAAATGTAATAAATGCATGATATCCACAGTTGCTGATCGTTTTACTCCACACGCGTCTCTGGTTAACGATAATAACAATTATACCATTTACTTATTAATAATAAACGTTTTTGGGTTAGATCGCGTTATTTATAAATGTGTCGTAACCCTCCACCACCCGACACGGCCAATCAGTAAAAAAAAGTGTCACGTTGACAAAAGACAAATAGTTCGATACTTTAGCCCACCGGTGTGTTGAAAAGTGAATCCACAACATTTACAATTTTTGAGTACGACGTTTCGCTGGTAATGCATCCAGCATCATCGGGCAATTTGCCAGATATATTCTATTTGTCTTTTGTCAACGTGACACTTTTTTTACTGATTGGCCGTGTCGGGTGGTGGAAGGTTATGACACATTTATAAATAACGCGATCTAACCCAAAAACTTTATTATGAATAATATTGGTCGCGAAAGCCTACGTGTTAAACTGACCATTCACTTAGACGGGAAAGTCTCGCTGAGTATAAAGAAATGTCCTCACGAGCGTCCTGATACATTAGGACGTTGGACCATGAATTCCACCAAATTGGAGTTATGGCTTCACTTCATGAGGAAGCCCGGAAAACCCAGGGAAAACTCAAAAGCGCCGTACAGATAGATTCAAGACTACCACTGCCATATATTTGCTCATCACGCAGCCCAGGCGTACTACAAACACCGGCCTGCGATTCCCAGGTGGTCTCCCATCCAAGTGCCAAGCAAGGCTAAACCCCGCTTAGCTTTCACGATTCGCAAGGATCAGGAATAATCCGTTCTTGCGCTTGATGATTATAAAGCAACAACATTATAATTATTATTTTCCTTGTGTTGGCAGTCCCCCATGGTGTCAGGCGCTCTGCGCCTTCGACAGACAACTTCAAACTGCCGCGTGATTCAGAGCAAACGCGAGGTCGATGACATTTTCATTTCGTGCCACTCCCACTTTGAAGACGGAATGGATTTACAACTTTACGCGCCGGTCGTTTTGGGGGTGGTGGTGGTGGGGGGGACCTTCGGGATCGGTCGATGTCTCTCATTCACGTGGCGTGACGCTGTCCGCGCTATCTCGTCAGAGCTTATGATTTAACGAACAACAACAACAACACAATTTTAAGTCACAAAGTGACTCGCCGCTTCAAATGAGCCGGCGGCGGAAGCTGTTTCATCTCGCTGGAAGTTCCGGGGTCGGCACAGGTAACGCGACAGCACTCCTCCGGAGGGAGCGTCGGAGTCGCATCATCCCCCGGGCAGATTTGGCGGCCGGTTGCTCCTCGTCCCGTGAATCCTCCCCTTGCCAGTATAAAATATAATAATAGGTTTTACCCTTTCTGACAATAAAACAGTTGTGTTAAGATGTCAAAACACCAAACAAAAACCTTTGGCAAGGAATCATTGTCTGCATTGTGTTTGTGCTGTTCGCCTTTTGGCGTCCTCTGGTCTAAACACTGTTTGAGACGAGGCTCTAAGGAAAGATGTCTCTCTTGTGGACCAATCAGTGTCAAAGAGAAGGCATCATCATATACTACCAGAGTATGTTTGTTTTGTTTGCATGTTCACCGCAAGTCTATGTGGTTAATGCGGACATGCTTCCTTGCAAAAGGTTTGAGTGTGGTGCTTTAGCATCTTAACACAACTGTTTTATTGCCAGGAAGGATAAAACCTATCCTTATTATGCCCCTCGCCCGTTTAACAATCCCCAGCCACCAAGTCTCTCTACAAGACAACCACTGTTGACACCTCCACAAAGTGCTACTAATTTTATCGACCCCACCCCCCCGTGGGATGATGGGCTGCCCGGTTACGATGTTAAGAAGGGACGTGATTGTGTCAATACGTCGTTGCGTCTGTTTGTCGGAAAGCACTCGTGACGTTACGCTTCACCGGCACACTGCAAAGACCCCCCCTATAAAGTTACCGATAAGGCCGTCCACCTTATCGGTTTGGTGCCCCCCAATCAAGGAGCCTAGTGCCCCCCACGGCCTCCCCTAGCCCCTGCACCCCCCCCCCCACCTCCAGATTACTCCGGCCACAACACAGACAGATCACGCCTCTGGACGGCACCTCCGATTGGCACGGTTGGCTACGTACGGAGCGAAAGAAGTTCAACATTAATACATCCATACGAGGAGTCGGTAAGGCATCTGTTTTAAGTTGCGTTGTTACACCAAGGCACGTGTTGCAAGTTGTGCATCGGCGTGCGTTGTTTTGCCACGACGTGGCGCCGACGATCCGCGCGTGCATCCGAGATTTCTCCTGCACGGTCTCCATGCCGCCAGCCTGCGCCCCCACCTCCCCGCCCCCGGCAAGGTTGTTGACCCACGTGGTTGAGAATCGCTGCCCTACAGCGATCGCTGCGAAACTTCCCGCACAGCACGCCAAAAACCACGACGACGACGACGACACCAACAAAAACTGCGAAGCGCAGAGATCAAGATTCGCCTCCGGGCAAGGTTGGCGAACGGAGCGCTTTCTCAAACGAGTGATATTATCGCTGCTGCTGCTGCTGTTGTTGTTGTCGTCGTCGCGTTCTCCGAAGTTTAACGTTGCGCTGCGTGCCGACGCGGTTGCGTGCGTTGGAACCCGAGGATGCGTTAGCGCACGAGGCCGTTTGTTCACTACCGCGTGTGCGAATGTGGTCGTCCAGAACAATTCGCAGCAACGTAATAGCGACGCAACAATAACAACAACGATGATGATGATGATGATGCCCCGATCCACAAATGCGAAGGAGAGACATCGCAGCGGTGATGCACTCTGCTGCTCGGGCTTAATGCGGATATCTGGCTTGACCACCTGAACGCGAAATTGTAGCTGGTTGCTCTGCAGCTAACATCAGCAGCCGTGCGAGTGAAGAAGACGACAACGAGGAAGACCAGGAAGAAGAGCAAGAAGAAGGGCAAGGATAAGACCAAGAAGAAGATCAAGAAGAAGACCAAGAAAACGAGGACGAAGAAGACGACCAAGAAGACGAGGACAAAGAAGACGACAAAGCAGAAAAAGGCCAAGAAGAAGACGACGAAGGCCAAGAAGAAGACCAAGAAGACGAGGACGAAGAAGACGACAAAGCAGAAGAAGACGATTGCTACGCTTCGACTTAAAGGGACTTCGCAGGTCATGTGACACACTCCGGTGCTCCTGCTGATGCGGTCATCTGCTGGCTTGACCACCACGAAAGA